CGCAAAAAGAGGAAAATTCCTTCATTACAGGGTGGCGGGTAGTGTGGCGGTAACTGAGGTGGTGTCAGCAGCTCCATTCGATGCCCTGGTTTCCACCGGGGGGGGCAGGTTCATGCTTGCGATGCCGAAAGCCCAGAGCAGCCACCTTCCTCCTTTTTATAGGTATCGCTGGGCAGGAGGATGCTTTAGATATGACCTTCCCGTATGGCGTGAGCAGCCTATGGGACCCGTCCTGGTTTGGGGAGATCGGTATGAGGTGTGAAAGCCGGTGGGATCGCGCCGGCTACAGAGCTGGGCTTTAGGCTGGGAAGAATTGGGAATGGGCAACGAAGGGCATCCCAGATGACAGGGCCCCCCGAGGTGCTGGGGGATGCGCTGAGCTGGGCAGTGGGTGCCGGGGGCTTCAGCGAGATATGCCCACCTGCAAGAGGGAAGCCCGTGGTCGGGCCAGGAGGGTTTTGGCAGCACTTGCCAGCCCCAGCCCTTGGATTAGCAAGTACCAGGGAGGAGGAGAAGCAGGAGACGAGGGGCTCTTTGGGCAGCTGGTAAATGCATGCATCCCTCTGCAGAGGCTGGGAAGCCATGGTGGCCTGGCAGGGTGCTCCAGGGTGGCCTTGGTGTCCTGCGGGGCAGCCCTGCGGGGTGAGGAGCACCCGGTCCCACGTACACCGTGTTCTGGGTGCTGTCTATGGAGCTGAGGTTTGGCTGGTCCTCTCTGTAGCTGGCTGCTTTGGCAGCAGGCTTTGGGAAAGCCACCGGGGAGTAGGAGGACTAAAGCAGAGGGTTTGGAGCACCATGGATGTGGTTGGTCTATAGGGAGCATCATCACGTGCATTAATGGGCCTTTCTTCATCAGGCACCCTCTCGATTCCTGCCCTGCATCCAAACGTCAGCAAAGTCCAAATCCTCCTTTAGCAAATCTCATCTTGTGCTTTGCACTCCGGGAAACAGGCTCTTGCCTTTCTCCCTGGGAAAGCAGCTCATCTCCAGAGAGCACCTGTAACATCATCATCGCTAGGGCCCATCTGGCAGAGCCCTCGCTCATTCCTTGTCAGGCTAAAACAAGAAATAGCAGGTATGACCTTTTGCAAAGAGGATAGAGCCATGGCGAGTTGCCTTCCTGAGCAAAGGGGCTCAAAAGGAGGGGAAGCCGAACCCGGGCAGGTTTTGCCCAGGCCACTCGGGCTCAGAGAGAGCAACTGAGCGAGCATCGTGCCGAGGGAATCGCCCACCCGGGGAAATCCAGGAAAGAGCTGCGGGTGCTGGTGCTTGCATTACTGCAACCGCAACGAAGCGCAGGACCAGAGGTCCCCTGGGCAGGGAAGAAGAGGAAAGTCAGTTCTATTCCTTTCAAAAACTCCTTTTACCTCTCTTAAAAACAAAAAACCGTCATAATTTTGAAAACACGGAGAAGTAACCTCATTTGCGATTCAAAATCTAGGAAAACTGCAGCCAACGCAACAGCAGGGAATGCCAGGTCTCTTTCCCAGTAACTTTTTCCCCCCTCCTGGGATTTTTTTAAATTTAAATACAGCATCAGAATTGACAACACGTGAATATTTCTACCCAGCAGAATATGATTTTCCCCAGCCAGGGAGGACGCGTCCCCTCCCTTCCCCGAAAGGCGAAGTGCCCCCTTTTGCTAATTCTTGGCTGCCCTGAAACAATGCAGCAGCGGGGAATTCCTGGGGTCAGCCCAAATCCCTTGTTCTCCCGGCCTGCTCCCGGCCCCCAGGAGCTGCAGCCTTGTTCAGGCTTTTAGAAGTGCAAATAATCTCTATAAATGGGGGGAACAGATCAAGCGATGGGGCAGGAGCTCGCCCCACGCAGCCTGGGAGGGCACGGGGCTGGCCCGGGGAAGAGCTGCCTCTCTCTGCTTTTTCATCTGCTTTCGCTTATTTTTTTCTGCTTTTTTTTGCCGTTTTCTATCGAGGGGTTAGGCTGGCAGCTCTGAAGCAAGCGGTGCATCGGGGCTGTAGCTCCATACGGTCTCTCTCCCCTGTACATCAGGGGCCAAACCCGGGCTGACGGGTCTCAGGGCTCTGCCTCCACACCCGTCCCTGCTCCGTGGCTCCCCGAGGGGGACTGAAACCCTCCCCACATGGCATCACCAGGCTTTTTGGCTTTGCAAGGTTCCCTCATTAAATCAATGCTCATGAATTAAAAAATGATCCTAAATGTGTTCTGGGCCCAGGTAAATGGTAATTGCAAAATGTTACCGTTACAGCCGTAGTTTGGGGTGTCCTTAAAGCACGAATCAGCCCCAAAGAGGTGGTGTGGATGGCGAAGTCTGGGGGGAGCGGTGTGCCACCCAGCCTGGGTATGTTTTACCCACGTTGATACCACCCGAGAGCCAAGGGTCCACTTCTGGAGCAGCATCGACAGGAGAACAGCTCCTGCCATCTGGCCCCTGGAAATGCAATTTCTAGGCAGCCAAAATAAGCATTAAAATACAGATGTTTTCACTAATAAATAAGCAAACCCCACTACCAGCCCCAACCCCAGCAAGACCAGCGACCCCGCACGAGTCGCCTTTATTTCCCTCTGCCTTTTGTTCCCCTCCAGCCTTTGTCTCTGCCGAGCCCACGCTGCTCCCGGGGCCGAGGCCGGCCGGGAGAGCCGCCGGCGCAGCCGGTGCCCCGGGCTCTGCCAGGAGCAGCCGCCGGCGGTGCCGCCGCTGGGACGCCCTGCCCTCCCTGCCGTCCCCAAACCGGGGGTCCCTCCAGCCTTTACCTTGCCTTGACCTTGCCCGGGGTGGGTACGGAGCCAAATCAATCCCCCTGCTCGCTGCCTGCTCCTTTCATCTCGGTCCCGCGCGCTGCGGACAGCTCTGCGTTTCGGGGGAGAGCCCACGGCATCATTGCAACAGCCGATGTGTTTTGTTACCTGGAAAAATAGCTTATGCTTCCTCTTGCTTCTGTGTGTCAGTTCCGATTACTTTCTTATTTATTTGTCCACTTGTTTTCGCTCCTGTCTTTGTTAAATACACAAAGTCGCTCATTAAGCATCGCGCTCCGCGTTTTGACCCTTTATTAGGCATCGCTCAGCTGACAGCCGGAGAAAATCTCTGTTCCTTTCTACATTTATTTTCCGTTTGGATGATTTGACAGAGCAGGGCAAAAAAATGCTCAGGGTAGTTTAAATACCCTGGAAGTATTTCTGTGTGGTGGAAGAATCCCTGTTAACCATTAAAGTTTCATATTTCTTCCCACAACTAAACCCGAGGGCAGCAGAAAAGAAAGAAAGGGCTGTTGAATTATTTGTGCAACCTGAAGTGCGGTTATTGCTAGGTGATGTTGAGTAAAGGACGAGTGTAAATTTAAGGAGAGTGAAAGAATAACAGCCGGAAGGTTAAAAAAAAATTGCTGAAAAACATCAAAATACCAAATGTAGCGTTTTAACATAATTTTGTCCAAATACAGTTACCCTCCCCGCGTTAATGCCCCCCGCCTGCTGCATCACGGCGCTTGCAGCCCCTCGGCTTTTCCCTTGAGCTTGTGGCTGGAGGAAGGGGCTGTGATTTAGGGACCGGCCGCGGCGAGGGAAGCTCCTTCCCTCTCCCACCCGCTTGCCGGCTGCAAAGCCGCGGAGATTTTCATTTCGGAGTCGATCGGAACAATTTTGTCCCGGCGACCCTGCTGTCTAACCCTGTTTGCTGAGTTACGCCGGGTTTGCTGACAACTTCTACTTGAGTAAATTGTATTTAGACAACAATATATTTCATTCAGGTCTTTTGCAATGTCTGGACCAAGGTCAGTTTTATATTCTACTGAAATCATAAAGTGACACTTGAGATAAACAGAATGTTTACTCTCTCCATGTGAGCCGAAGCTGATATGTAAATTTATCCTTATTCTTTCATCAAATTTGCATTTACCCTCTTAGTCAAACACTACAGGGTTCCAAATCAAACAGCTTTAATGGTGGTCAACCCTTTATGACCGATTGCCATATCAGAGAGAAAGAAACGGCAATTTAGATTAAAATGAAAAGAGTAACACAACATAACGAGCGTCATCCGGTTTGCCATAATTGGATAAACTTTTCATACGAGTGCCTGTGTTTGGATGCTCGGCTGCCCGGAAAGCAATCGCCGTATGCTCCCGCTGTTGTTCCAGTCCCTTTATCTGCCCCACACAGACCGGCCTCACCTGTCATGGTTTTTTCCTTCTGATCAAACAAGCCAAGTGCCACTAAACAAATTCTGGCGCGGGTTTTTTTCCCCCCTTACATTTACATAAAAGAAGGGGACTTGATTCACTGCAACAAGCCGCCGGTTTCCTTCTATCTTTAAGGCTCAGGTCGGGACGGAATAAAACGGGCAGGCTTGGCGGCACGAATAGGAGACCCGCAGGCGGGCTTTCGGGTTCGGTTGCTTTTTAATGAAGGATTACACGATGCTGGTGGGCAGCGTGCTTCCAGGAATCGCAAGCCGCGTGGTGCGAACGCGGCCTGACGCCACGGGAATGGGATGGGGGTAAGGGCCTGGATGGCCCTCGGGCGTGAACAACTGTAAAGTCTGACCGTAAAATAACAGGCAGAAAAACACAACCAAGGACATAGGATGACAATAGAAATCCGCCAGACAAAAAAAAGAAAAGGAAGATATTTAACACCCGAGCTAAATATGCACATAAAGACGGGTTTTATGAACCAAGCGGGATGGCTTCTGCGCCCTGAACCTCCCACAGCGCTAAGCTGAGACCCCACAACTCATTTCATGTGTGCCTTGGACCTGCGCTTTCAGAGGAGGAAGATCACTACTGTATTAAGCCTGCACCCAAATAAAAAGGGGTTTTTTTGTCGCAGCTAACATTTTGGCTGGTGTGAGGAATGAGAGAGCGAAGGGGCTGGGAGCCAACGCCCGCACCGTGGCAGCCGGGGCAAAGCTGCAAGAGTGCCGTCCCCGAAAGGCGCTCCCGGGATCTGCCTCCCGCGCCGGGCAGGCCGAGAGGGAAAGGCAGAAAAGAAAACGGAGGCACGTTGGGCCGCAGCTTTCGCTAGGTAACGGCAGGTTTGGTGCCTGGAATGCTGGAGCCGCCGCCGAACGGCTTCATCCAGCGCCGCTGCCGCACCGGCGCGGGGGGGCGCCCCCCGCCGCCCCGCGCCCAGCTGCAGCCCTCCCCTCCCTCCGACAAAACCACCACCGAAAAAACCCCACGACTAAGGCAGAGAAAGGGGAGAGGGAGGAAAAGAGAAGGGCTTAAAAAAAAAAAAAAAGGGACTAAAAAAATTTAAAGGAAAAAAGCAGGAGGAAAAGGGGAAAAAAAAAGGAGAGAATTTTCTTTTTCAGCACGGCTGTCAAATGGATATCTTATAGTGGGAGGGCTGGGAGGGAACAGATATCTGCCTCTCTCCGGAGCCTGCAAGTATTTCTGCCATTCATGAAGCCAAGGGATGCCACACACATTCTGTTTGTTCAACATAAGCAAACAGATTGTAAACTGGCTGATAATTTTTGTACTGACAATGTCATTTACAGCTGTCAGCCTTTTGTCTGTCATGTTTGCTTTATTCAAATATGAACCAAGTGGACCTCCCTTCCACCGCTTTCTTCTGCATTAAAATCACATCAATTCCGTTCCATTCTGTCTTATCTAAAATTCATTGGAGGCCAATCACTTGGATGAATGCTTTGGGGTTTCCATGGAGGCAAGAAGTCTAGTGTGGACTTCAGGGGATTAGGAAGTTTCAGATTTAAAGCCTTGAAGTGCACGTTTCTTTCAGTTCTTTCTTTTGATTGCAGAGGAAGGGGAAGGGGAAAGAAAAAAGAAAAAAAAAAAAATCGGGAAATTTCAAGATAATTTTATATTTCCAAAGCTCCCCAGCACGAAGCGCTCCCCCCTTCCGGCGCATGTGCGTGCGCGTCTGGACGCGCTCAGCTGCTGAGCCTTTGCTTAAGCACAATTTATGGCCGTGATCTTTCCAGCTGAGCTAAAAGGAGGATACTGTACCGGCATCTATCCCCCCCGCATCCTCAACAGGGTGCTTGCCACCGGCCCCTATAATAAATTCAGGCCCGTCTTCAATTAGATTGATTTGGATCCAGCTGCTTCCCATGGTGCTGCCCGCAGGTCTGGAAGCATCTCCCTTTGTTAATAGAGGTCACGGCACTTTGTGTTAAATAATTCACATCAGACTATCTGTCTGTCTGTCTGTCTGTCTGGGGGCAGCTGCAGATGTTGCCCGTTTGTGCGGAGGCTGCGAGCCCCACGCACGCACCTGTACAGCAGATAGTTGTACGCAGAGGACATTTATTTTATATTTGTTGCTCAAGTGCTGAGCTGATGTAAATCAGGAGGGAGCCAGTGCAAGCGGGATGAATTTATGTTGACTTATCTTGTTTCTATCTTTGAGCCTTCCGACGTTATTTTTGGTTTGTGCGTTTGATTTTTGGTGCTGGGCACCGTTTTGGAGCTGGTTTTCCTGGGCTGCTTGCGAGCCAGAGCCCTGCTGCCAGCCTTGGGTTAAGATAGCTAACACTGGAAACAGCCAAATCACAAACTGTGCATAAATATCTTGTTTTTACGTATTGTGGGGAGAGAGAGAAGGGAGCCGTTTGCCCAGGGAAAGCTGGGTCTGGGGAGCACCCCTCCTGGCTCTCCCAGCAGGGAGAGGACGCAGGTGACAATTAAAGCCATCTTTTTCCCATCGTGCCTCATCTTCCTCTCCCTATGCCCAGTGATTAAAATCCTCGAGTCAAACCTCAAAGAAAAAAAGCCCCAGACTGGTTTGGTAAGTATGAAATCTTAAAAAAATGTGCTTTTTATTTACCTTCTGGGTCCTGAAACTTGATAAGCGCTCTTGAAGCACAGCGTGGAGCCCCCACCACCGCGGCAGGGGTGCGGGCAGCCAGGCAGGGAGGCAGAGCCGAGCTTCCCAGCACAGCGCTTGCAGCCCAGAGCGGAGGTGACGTGCCCGCCGAGCTGCCCCGGCTCTCCTGGCACTCCTACGGCGATGGCGATGGCACTAGCAGTGGCAATGGCACTGGCGACGGCACTGGCAATGGCACTAGCGACGGCAATGGCACTGGCGATGGCACTAGCGATGGCACTGGCCCTGGCCATGGCAATGGCAAGGACTGTCTCAGGCAGCCCCACGGCCGCTCCGGGCAGCAGAGGCTCCCCTGCGAGCCCATCGCCTGCAACCTTCCCCTTCTCCTCCCTCCAGCCCACAGGACAAACGTCGTCAGGTCAATCTGGTGGTGGTTCTGGCCAGGTTTTGGGGGTTTTGGGGAAGGCTGAAGGGTTTCCCTCTGCCAGCCCTGTGCCTGCGGCTTCCTTGGAGCTCCACAAAGTACATCTCAGTCCAAACTAATATTGCAGTGACCCTTCTCGCTGATGCAGATTGAACGGAGAATGTAAATGCCATATCTATCAATCCAGCCAGCTTGCTTCTCCTCCTCGATGCCTCCCTATAACCCCACTTATGCATCAACTTAGCGTTTGGTCAATAAAGCCTGCACACACCTACAAATACACAACACACATCAACAAACAAACAAGCCCAAGCAAACAGGCAAACAAAAACTAATCAAGATATTTCTCCCAGCATCTGGGAAGGAAAGGAAGGACTAGTGTTGCATTTATGATTTCTGCTTGTAAGTACTGCCGAGCCGCTCACGCACCAGGCGGTGGGAAGAGGATGGGCACCCACCCTGGCCAATACGAAAGGTCCTCCCTGGGATTTCTGATGGCCCTTGCCTTCGGCGGCTCCGTGCTCCACCATGCGGCCCTACGCAAAGAGGTGATGCTTTAACTGGCGGTGGGATCAGATGCTCTTCCCCATCACATTTACAGTTTGCTCATTAGTAAACATATTCAGCTAAGATTTATGAGATGACCCAAGAGGGTGAGGTGGCAGGTATCAAACCCACCCGCCCATGCAAACACCTCTCCACGCTGAAATTTCCAGGCAGCAGCCACGCTGCCAGCAGCCGTGCTCGGCAGTGGTGGACCACAGCAAGGATAGGTCATGCAAAAACAGGACAGGAGATCAGGGCTTGCTTCAAGGGGACCAGCCTACAGCAGAAACTTTAGAAGAGGTTGGACTAAATCAGCACCGCAAGGGGAGGAAAAGTTCCCTGAGAGTTACTAAATATTTCCCAACCATTTCTGGCTCGAGAGATCCTTTCTGAAGGCTTGAGGAATATTAGGGAAGGGAACCTCATGGGCTCAGCCTCTTCTGACTGCTGTCCCTGAAGCATCTGCCTGGGGTTGCTGTTGCAGGTGGGGCCGGCTGGGAGGGACCTCGGGCGGGATGCTCGTGGTACCCACCAGGCTGCAGGGAAGGGAACTGGCATGGGGGAAATTTCAGGTGCCTGGGTGTTTTGATGACTTGGAGCTCTTTGGGGCTATTGACAGGGAAGGTAGGGGTAGCAATAAAGTCCTTTTAAAGCTCCCGGTAAATTCACCCCCATCTGGGACTGGATCAAGGTTAACCCAGTTGTCAGGCTCCATTCCAGGTCAAGCCCGTGAATAACTGGGCTGAGGGGCTGGGGGACACAGGGCCCCCGCGCCCCGTGAGAGGGGCGCAGCAGCGGCTCCTCTCCGGGGGAGCAGCTGCAGCGACCAGGGCAGCCCACGCCTTCTGCTGCGTGAATTGTCCTCAACAGGAATCTCAAGTCTAAATTCACTTTTTGCATTTGATGCTTCGTATTTAGGAATTGTCATTATTTCCCCCTTTTTTTTCCCTTCGCCTCTTTTCCTTTCCACAGCTCCTCAAGCTCAGGGAAACTTTGGAAATGACAGAGATTGTTCCCTTGTAACCCTGGTGCATTTAAACGTTTTAAAATCCCAGCGATGGAGTTGCTGATGGGTTTTGTTCCCTCGCTGCTCTGGCTCATCTTCCTTTCAAGTTGGGGTCTTTTTTCAAAATTACAAAGGGAAAAAAAGAAAAGGAAAAAGTGGGAAGGAGCTTTTCCCCATCATTTGTCTTACTGCATATAATAGCAGAAAAGAATGGGGGGAGAGGAGAGGAAACTTTTCCTTTGTTTCAATAATGTCTCATTTCAATTTGAAACAAAACTCCATATGCGGGTGTGCTGCTTTATAAACTCCAAACCCGAGAGAAAATGAGAGAATGGAAATGTCACCCTCCGTGGATGCTAGCTTGAGAAAAGGGCTTTAAACTAGTTCACTCTGAGCATATAGATTTGAAGAGGATGGCTGAGGTATTTCTCCAAGCACGGATTGCTCTGTTTTACCCCAGAATGGTGTTAGAAGCCCAGGAAATCAAGAAATTCTGTTGCTCCGGTACAACTCACTGCTCAAATACTGTCTCTTTGGAAAACTGTATTTTCTACCAATTGTACAATTATATTTATAATCTTTGTTTCCAGGTACCAGTAAGCTGTTGAGATGCCATGTAACCGGGAAGAGCAGTGCTAGGCACTGGTGTCCATGCCTCTGGGACCTCCTCATCTCCATCTTCAGCTCCCAGTCTGCCGGGATGCAGCTGCTCCAGTGTGCTGGATGGGGTGGCTGTGGTGGGAGCCACTCCGCCAACGCTCCACAGTCACCGAGGCCGGAAAGAGGCCAATAACGTCAACGGGATTTGGGATTGCTGGGGGATGCTACGTGGTCCGACATGCCCCAAAACCTGGCTCCAAAGGCTCTTGCAACCAGCAGGAGCCTGCACGGAGCTCGGTAAGACCCTGCCCTGACTTTGATGGGCTTTAGGTCAAGACTTCACTCTGATAACACTTCTTCTCGCCACCCTGCCTGCCCAGATTTAAAAGCCTGTCCTCCACTTCAAGTCTTGAAAAGCCTTGGCTTCACCTTCTGCAGTGGCTCAGCCTTGGGGAGGGGGAATAGATATCTCTGACTCTTTAAGAAAACCACCGGTTGATTGACGGCTTTCAGCCAGCTGGGTCCTTGATGGCCAGGAGTGATCCCACAACCGCAAAGACGTACAAAATCAACCAAAAATAAAGTTTTCTTTTTTTTTTTTTTTTTTTCCCCCCC